TTTGCCTGCAGGAGCTACTGCTGATATCCGTTTCCTCACGCTCATGCGGCTCTTCAGGCTGTTGCGACTGATGCGGGTTCTGCGCGTGGTTCGCGTTCTACGGAACGCGAAGGAGCTCCTCCTGCTCATTTCAGGCATTGCAGGCGCATTCAAAGCCATGGTATGGGGCATGATCCTTCTCGGCTTCATGATCTTCATCTGTGCCTTGCTTGTCACAAAGATTGTGGGCAAGCGCTGCTGCCTCGGAGACAAAGTTTTCAATGACGCTATTTCGTTCCCCCCCGCCGAAGACGGCTCATCCAACGAGAACGAGGGCCTCTATTTTGATTTATTTGGCACGATGCCGAGGTCAATGTTTACGCTATTCCAGTTTACTGCGGAGTTTCAGCCTGACATCGTTCGTGCCACTTGGGCGGATGGGGTGGAGGGCTACCTTTTTTCATTCTTCTTGATATTTTACGCTTTGGCGTCTAATATTGTAATTTTGAACATAATTGCCAGCGTCATCGTGGACGTAGTCATGAGCATCTCGTCGAGTAAACGTGAAGAGGAAGTGGCTGAGGCAAAGGAGGAGCTGCGGAAGGAGATCACAGGGAAAGTCGACGAGCTGTTTCAGTCTTTGGACATCAACGAAGACCGAACGCTGCAATACGGTGAGCTCTTCGATAAGAAAACAGATCACGTTCAGAGAGTCTTCAAGGCAGCTGGGCTTCTGCCATCCGACGCAAAAGAGCTGTTCAGCCTCCTGGACAAGGACTCGAGTGGGGCAGTCACGCCAAGCGAGTTCAGGGAGAGCCTCGTGCGCTTGAAGCAGGCCCCAGACGCCAGGGACATCCTGCGGATTGAGTTCAGCTTGAAGTCCATGGGGAGCAAGGTTGACAAGGTCATGAAAGCTCAGGCGAATGTAGTCGATGTGCTCAGTCGCATCGCGCTCGATTGACAGTCTGTCATCCCTGGCGCGAAGTTGAGAGTGTGCAGCCATTATGCGATGTCCGCGTGAAAAAGCCGAGGGGGCCCGAAGGGTCACTGCATCGCATAGCGGGTAGCACGGTGCTGTCCAGTGCCTTCAATAGGAAGACATCGGAATCCTGCACTCGCCATCTAAGCGCCTGGCCTTCCCTGTATCTATGTACGCCCAGCCCTCCTTTGGTTGGTTCCCCGTTGTGGGTAATGGAGTGCAGCTGCTGCTCCTCTCCTCCTCCTTCCTCTCATGCCTCTCTCCTCTTTTCCCGCTCGTCTCTACGACTCGTAGCTGTGAGTGCTATTCGCATCCCTTCCTCCACCATCTGTTGTTTTGCATCCGCCACTCTCGCGTAGGGTACTGAACGTGTTGCTGCACATGGCATTGCAAGGCCTAGCCAAGCACGGCATATCATGGTAAGGCATGGCATGACACATACACCACACCAACATATCACTGTGTTGCACAACGCAATCTGATATCGCTCGCCTCATCATGGCGTTGCAAATCGTACCGTGCGATACCGCACAGACTCGTTGCAGGGAATTGTGTGACGTTGCTTAGCATCGCATCGTGCAGCATACCATGACATAGCGTATCCTGATCTGCAGTAGTACATGTCGTTGATATGGTATGTTATGTCTTTAGCTAGGGCACCGCCCTGGGGTGGGAGTCAAGCCGTATACATCGTTCATTGCGTGCAAGTGTTTTATACGCCATGCCATGCGGCTGCTACGCTATGCTCGTGATGTGATATTCTAGACGCTTTGCGTAACCCCACCAGCCAGGGTCTGAGGCAGTCTGTCCCCGCAGGTACGGACTCCTCCAGCCCCTGGAGCGGGCGCGGATCGCCCGCGTGGACTGGGAGCGGTTCGCGGCGCTTCAGGTGCTGGGCTACGGCATGGTGCAGCCCTGCGCGCCACCCCGCTCCGGCACCACCTGGGGCCGGACCTGAGGTGAGCGCTGTCCTGGCAAGTGGTTCATCCTTTGGCAGGTCGCCGTTGTTCCCCCAGCAGGTCCGCCCCTGCTACCTCGGGTGACGTTCGCATCTTTGTACCCCCGTCCCCCGTGACGGATAAGCTGCCCGCGTTGTACGCCGACGACTTGGTTATCTCGCTTCCCACGGCGGGCGCCGCCTTCGAGCTCTTGCTACTGCATAAATGGTGTATCCTTTGGCAGTGCTTCCCGGCCCTCCCGCAGGGTGGTCCGTGGTGCTCGACCAGTGCTTGCAGCTGTATCCCCCCGGCTTTCAGAGTCAGGCAGTTGCAGGTCGTGGACCCGGAAGACAGGGCCGCCGTTTCCTTGCATAGGTCGGTCGCTCACGCCCGAGTGCTTCCATGAGTCCATGTGAGTGAGGCGATCCTCGGTTCCCCCCTTCTCCTGTCCTCGCGTGCCTTCGCGCCCGCCGCCTTTCCCCGTTCCTTCGCCTCCTCGTCGTGTTGGACGGTGCGGCCTCACTGGCCCCTCCGTGCCGCCACAGCGCGGCGTGACCCACGCCCTTACGCGCTGTTCGGTACGGACTGAGCTGGCGCCACTGTGCGACTCCTCCTCCGTCTGTTTCCTTTTGATGCCTGCGTCCCCGCTTCCGGGTCGCCTGCGTCTTAATGGGGGGCATTTTGTCCCTGGCACGTGCGCCCGCTGCGTCGGCCTATGCGCCGTCGCCGCTAATGATCTCGCCCTGTGCCCCAGCCGAGACCGTCCCGCTTCCTGGATCTGTCCTTGGAGCCGCCAATCAAAAAAATGTAACCCCACCAGCCCATGCAGAAACGCTGTTATTGAAATGAAGGGCTGGGTAAGACGCCGTACCCCAACAGAGGGAGGATGGAGGAGGAAAATGAGGAGTAGGGGGAGGGGGAGGGGGAAAAAGGATACAGGAGGCGAACTAGTAGGATGATGATGACGAGAAGGGCGAACAGAAAGGTCAGAGGCCTCTCGGACGCCTCTCAGAGTCTCTTAGGATGTCTCTTGGGAACTTCTCGGGGTCCCGTTTTGACGTCTTGGGGAACCTCTTAGCTGCCCAGTGGGCCTCTTGGAGCGGCTTGGGTGCGGAGCCTCTTGGGGTCTCTTAGGAGTTCGTTTGGGAATCTCTTGGGGGCCTCTGGGGGCCTCCTGGGCGCCTCTTGAGGCTCTCTTGGGGCACTCTTGGGAACTTTTGGGGCCACCTTTGGGCCAGCTGGGAGCTCAATTCGCCCTGCCCCCCCCCACATGAGCCGAAATATATCCCAAACTTACAAAACAATGATTTGTGCCTTCTCGCCGAAGCCTTCTTGTGCGCTCCAGTCGGTCGCGCCTCCCCCCTCCAGGCGCAGGGTGATTCGGTAGGGGGAGGGGTCAATACACCCTCCAGATAACAAGTAGTCTAGCTCACTCCCACCCGCCCTCCCAACGCATGCGTAACACCCGAGCCTCAGCATATTCAGCGGTCGTCTTTGGATGGGCAGGCACTGGGAACCAACACCGAGCCCATGTGCGCGACGCTGGGGCGAGGTGCGCCACGCGTGCAAGGCGCACCACGCGCGCCAGGCACCCCTGGGGCACGAGCGTGCTAGGCACGCCTGGTGCGCCAGATGCGCCGCATGCCTCCGTGTGCGCCAGGTGTGCCGCATACTCCAGCCGCGCCATGTGCGCCACGTTCGGTGCACGTGCAGGGTGTGTCAGGTGCGCCTGCGCACGTGACAGCATACATCGGGAACCGTGTCGGCCCCCACCACCCTTGTCGAACACCAATGCCCATCATTGTGTCTGGTGGGCCTGCACAAAGCAGGCCATAAGCCACCACCCCTGCCGTCCCTGTCAACCGCCACTTGACAATGATCGCGGGACGGCCGCGCATGATCCAGATTTGGCCGCGAGGTGTATGCTGTGTGGCGTTTTGTCAGGGATGGTAGCCCTGCGCAAAGCAGGCAATATGCTGACACTTCCGCCGTCCCTGCCAACAAGCAATACAACGTGCTCGCGGGCCCCACGAACTTGACTCCAGACTTTGCCCCCGACGTGTACTTTGCATTGTGTTTTGACAGGGATGGTGCGGGGGGGAGGGGCGCGCATCGGGTTGGTTGCGCGTGCTCCGAATTTGGAGGCAGAGTACGTTTTGTATTGTTTTTTTGTCGGGATGGTGTGGGGGGTGATCATGGTTCCTGGTTGGCCGACGGTCGTCTGGGGGAGGGGGTGTATACCAATAGGGAATAGTGATAAGCCCCTCCCCGAAGGGGAAGACGGGGGTCGGAAGAGGAAGCTCCCCAAACCACTCACGCCCTGAGGGGCGGGTGGGACTCACAGTTCTGTTACTCAAATTGCTAAGTTCGCAGAGCGGGAGTCACGGCGCCTCCCCCGCCATGGGAAAAGTGAGCACGCAAGGCTACGAATCAGCGATTATTCATGGGATAGCCTCGTATCAGGATTATTCATGGGGGCAGTCTTTGCGGCCTTCTGCTGCCTTTGTGAAGCGTTCTGAGACATCTCTTGGGTCTGTGAGGTCTCGTGGCCGTCTTGGAGGGGTCTTGGGCCGCTTGGAGGAGCTCCGGACAGTTTTTGAGGCCTGCTTGGCTCTTCTGGGCTCATCTTCGGGTCTCTTGGGCCGTCAGGGGGCTTCGGGGGTCTTGGACCGGCTCCGCGGCCCATCTCAGGGCAATGTTGGAGCCATCTTGGGGCCATCCCAGAGCCAACTCTGGCCCTCTTGGGCTCTCTTGGGTCCATCTTGGCGCCCCTTGGGAGGTCTTGGGGCCGCTTTGGAAGGTCAAAGGCCCGTCTGCGAGTCTATTGAAGCCGTCTTGAACCAGTCTTGGGCCCTGGGAGTCGCATCAATAGTGTTTTTACGAGGGACTTTGGTCTTGGGAGCGCGGACACATTGTTTTTACGATGAGAGCAGCCCTGCGAGCGCAGATCACTGGTGCGTCTACGCGTCCCAGAGAAAGGTACGCCATGATTACCTGCGCAACTCCTCCAGCAGCCAGCGGAGTCCGCGGAGGCCACTCCCAACTAGCCGACTAGCATCTAGAAGTATGGCCCGCAATCTAGCGGTCGCTCAACACGGCTGCGTCCCGCAATGGGGCCCTTTGCCTTGAATCGCGTCGTGTTGTCCTCCTGGCCATGTTGTAAAATCGTCGTCGGCACTTGCTCGTGGTGAGAAGTGCCGTGGAAGAGAGCTTAAAGCCAAGAGGGGATAACATGTCAAAGCACAGCGGCAAGGTCCCCCAATCATGGCCAACTCGGAGTCATGTTCGAGGTTTCACTGGACTTCTTGGCGCTTCGCGTATCCCCACCTGCGCTGTCGCCAGGACGGCTCGATTCGCTAATTACCTGGCTCTGTGCCCCAGACGCCTGTTTTGCATTCTGCATGTGCGGTCGGCTGTCGACACTGACAGCTGGGTTCGCAAATTATCTGGCTCTGTGCCCCTGGCAGCCCGATTGTCACGCCCTCTGGGCTCTTCCTCCTCCCCCCCCTCTGCTCCTCCCTACCTGCTGCCGTCTGCCCGTTTTCCCCAACTTGTTCTGTATGTTGCACGAATTATCTGGCTCTGCTCCCCAGTTTGCCTGATTGACACGCCCTCTGGACTTTTCCTTGCTGGCCGCAGAACAAAAAAATATCCCCACCTGCCCATTTTCCAGCGCCTGCTCGACTCTCTCGGCTACCAACCTGACGACCTGGGCAGCGCTTGCATCACCCTTACCCACATCTTCCGCTTGCACCCCTTCCTCCTGCTCCTCCCCTCCGTTGCTTACTACAATGGTCAGCTGGTCAGTGGCCTCACCACCCCCTTGGCTGAGCGCCCTTAGGTGTCGGGCATCCCCTGGCCCCCGGTGCGGGAACTCGACCTTGGGCGGGCGGACTCCCTTGCTACAAAGCTGGGAATCAGTAGCGAGGACCTTATGAGGGACTGCCAAGGCCCACACCCTCTTGTCCCCAGCGACTCGAAGGACGCTCATCGGACTCTCCTGGTGGACAACAGGTCCTACGAGCTGACATCCCACCTGGCTGA